TTTTTTTGGGCCAGATGTGGTGCTCACGGGATGCTGCTGCTCAGTAGGCTGAGGCCACATGGAAGGCCCAGCTTCAGTTCCCAGCCCATCCTAAAAGTCTGGGCACAGTAGCCCACACCTGTAGTCCCAGGTATTTAGGAGGCTGAGACAGGAGAATTGTGACATAGCAAGACCTTATCTAAAATAATATGCACAAACACAAGAACATTTTTTGTCAACAGAACCATTAGAAGTCTGAAAAGTCAGTAATAATTAGAAGTTGTTTGCAATGCATATGTTAGACAAGACATAGATCCAGAACGTGTAAAGAATTACAGATTGAGGGACCAGCAGTTGGTGTATTGGCTATGTTGCTGGACTCTCATGTAGTCGACCATGGTTCGAGTCCTGGACCCGGTGGCTTAAACTCAGGCCAGGTACATGTGTGTGCGTGCCCAGTATCCTGAGAGGAGAATGGAGGAGAAGGGATTGTGGTGTGGCCATCCACCCTGGGGGTTGATTTCTTGCTTTCTGTCTCTCTCTCTCTCTCTCTCTCTGAGTGCACACATCCTATAGCAAAAACCTTTCCAAAAAAAAAAAAAGACAGATTGAAAAGAGAAAGACAGCCCATTAAAAACAGACAAAAATGGGACCAGCATATGGTGTAATGGTTATGTTGCTGGACTCCCATGTGGTCAACCGTGGTCTGAGTCCCGAACCTGGTAGCTTGAAACTTAATGCTGGTTTCCTGCATACGTGCCCAAAATCCCGAGAGGAAAATAAATGAGAAGGGATTGTGCTGTGGCTATCCACCTGGGGGGGGGGGAGTGATTTCTCAGTTTCTGTCTCTGTCTTTCTGGCAAGCACATGCGCCCTATAGCAAAAATATCTCATGAAAAAAAAAAAGGCAAAAAATCAGGAAATCTGAATGGTTAATGAGTATACAAAGCTAAGCCTTCTCACTCACGAGTCATTAGGGAAATGCAAGTTGGAACCTTGGAAGCAGCTGATGTGAAAAGGGCTGTCACTGCAAGATGTTGGCATTTGCTTTATTTATTTTTTTATTATTATTTATTTTTATTATTATTTATTTTTTAAAATTTCATTCATTTCGTTTTAATTTGACCAGAGAGAGAGAGAGAAAGTAAGCAAGCAAGCCACCAGATCTGGGACTCAAACCATGATTGGTCATGAGGGAGTCCGGCGCCCAATCCACCACATCACCTGCTGGCTCCTAAAAAAATATGGAATGCTTCACGATTTTGCATGTCATCCTTGCTCAGGGGCCATGCTAATTTTCTCTGTATTGTTCCAATTTTAGTGTATGTGCTGGCAAAGAGAGCACCCTATTGCTTTATTTTTAATAGTTCAGCCTAGAAGGAAACCAAGTGTGCGTCAGCAGTAGGATGGATAAATGCATTGTGGAGTGTTCACGCTCAGAACAATAGGCAGAGGTGAGAAGAAAGACACAGTGGGCTGGCCCAATTGGCCTAGGGGTAAGGGAGCTGCATCCCTGCACCCTACGCGACCGACTGCAGTGTCCTGAAAACATGCCTGGCCTATGCATCCGTGCCCCGTGAATCCCCAGTGAAGAAAAGGGATTGTGGTATGACATGCCCCATTGGGGAGTGCTTTCTCCTTCTCCCTGTCTCTCTGGCGATTAAAAAAAAAAAAAGGAAGGAAGGAAGGAAGAAAACACTGCTTGATGGCACAACACAAGCCAAAGAACATAGGGAGCCGAGTTGTCTGGTCCCATTTCATCAACTCAGAACTTGTGCGGTCACAGTTCCAAGGCATGGCCACCTTTGTGGCGTTGAGTTGGAGACACAGGGGGCCTTTAGAGACAGAAAAAGCTGATGTGTGTCTTAGTTCATTTTGTGTGGCTGTAACAGAATGCCTGAAAGTAGGTAACTTACAAAGAACAGAATTTACAAGGAGAATTCAAAAAGTTTGTGGAAAATGGAGTTAAACTCCAAGTTTATTTTAGTACCAAAATAATTAAAGTGTATGCATAGTTTCTTCATAATACAAATATTACATAAACTTTTGAAGACCCTGCCTATTTCTCACAGTTCCGGAGACTGGGAAGTCTTAAGATCAAGGGGTCTGCATTTGATCTGCTGAGGGTCTTCTTGCCGTGCCCTCACATGGCAGAGTGCAGAAGGGCAGGAGAGAACCACGTGATCCCGTGAGCCCTTTTATAGCAGCATTCACCCATCTGTGAGGGCAGAGTCCTTGTGACCTCCCTTCTCAGCACTGTTGAATTGGGGATGGGACTTCCAATACATGAGTTTCAGAGGACGAATTCAGACCTTACTATATAGTATATCTGAATATACTGGTTACACAAGAATACAGGTTTATTGAGGTATACTTTGTGTATTTTATGTAGAACTCCAAAAATGAGTGAAAGAATTGAATGAAGGAGAAAGCTGTGGAGTTGGCTGATGGATATAGGAGAGTTGCACATGCTGCAGGTAGGGTTGGTTTACAAAGAGGCTGAACAGGACAGTTTTAGAGAAGAATTTGGAGCCAGTCAGATGAACCGGAACAGATCAGTCCTCGCAGGCCCTGAAGCATCCTGGGACCGCACAGGATTGAAGTTATGACAAGTCAGCATTTTAGTTTACTGACCAAGCACATCAGAAACGTCCCTCAGTGCCCTGTCGGAGCCTCACCATGCTAGTGCCCATCCAGTGAGGTGTGTGGGTGGTTCTCCTGAAGTCTCTTAGGGGCTGCCATCCCTGCTCACAGACCCTCATTGTTCTCTCACACCTGCTCGGTGAGCCAAGCAGGTCCAGACCCCCGCTGAGATGTAGAGTCCAAGGATGCCACCCAGGGGTACTACTGAGAGCTGCCCATGGCTTCTCTGTTCCCAGGAACAGACTCTGCCACACACCTGGAGCTACCTTCGTCCTCATTGTTGAGAGCGGGATCTAAACCTTCCTTAGCCATGTCCACCATCTCCTGGAGGGCACCCTGGCTGACTGTTGGATTGTTTCCCAGGGCCCATTGACCCCTGTATGGCACATTGCCTCTCTGTGTCTTTTTTTTTTTTTTTTAAGGTTTTTGTCATCGGGTTCATGCACTCACCAGAGCGAGACAGAGACAGTAAGAGGGAAAGTGAGAAATCACCACCTGGGAGATGGCCACACCATAATCCCTTCTCCTGTGATTTGGGCTACACACACACAAAGGCACCTGGTGTAATTTTCAAGCTGCTGGGTCTAGGACTCGAACTGTCATTGGCCGATTGGGAGTCCATCGCCTTAACCATTATGCCACATGCCTCTCCTGTCCCTACCCAATCCCCTCCTCCTGCCTTGATCTCTGCATCTGTGCATTAGCTATTCCTACCTGGCTGAGCACTCATCTGTGTTGTCTCCTGACAGGGTGACTGATACAGAAAGGGTTCTCTGGTATGGAAGGAGGCTGGGTCGGCCCAGCCAGGAGTTCACATCATTCTGGGCTTCTACGTGTCTGCCCCGAGCTCCTGGGAAGGGCATCGCTTCCCTGGGAGGTCAACTAATGAGCGCCCGGTGCTTGTTATTTCAGGCACTGTCTGTTCCCCTTGCACCAAGGCAATTTGCACCTGGAGAGCAGGAAGTTTAAACAGGGATCTTTACATGTCAGAGTCATGTATATACTCTGGTTTTATTTTGCAAGGACACAGAAGTAAGATTTAAAATCAACCAGCCATACCACCGTTCACCCCGGTGCCTCCTGTGCTTAGTGTCGGTGCTGTGTTTGGGTGAGGAAGCTTCCCCACAGACAGCTAAGGGCCTTGCAGGGACCCAGAGGACAGGCAGCCTCCTTAGTACCTTGGGTCTCTAGGATCCTTGCCACCACTTTTTTTCTCTTTCTTTGTTGATTTTCGTAAGTTTAAAACTTAAATATAATGTATAGAGATGCCAGGAAGCAGAGGAAGAAAACATGCTGTTCCTGCTGCCAAGCCAAAGAACCAGGGTTTATCAATGCAGTTTGTGAAGATGTTATCAGAGACAGTCTTAGAAAATACGTGAAATACTAGAGGGCCTCCGAAAGTTTGTAGAAACATAGAATTAAAGTATGAGTTTATTTTGGTGCAAAAACGTTTGAGATCCATACGTAGTCTTTTGGTAAAACACATTTTCCATGAAGTTTTTTGAAGACTCTTGTATCCTGGCATTCCTTGGAGAAGTGCAGAGCAACGGAATTAGGATAGCTCAGTGAGGGGGCTGTGGGAGTCGCTGCCTTCAAGTTCCCTTGCTTATGTGGAGACCCTAAAATGTCCTCCCTCCCCCTCTCCTTTCCTCCCCCTCACTCCCCTCCCTTTCTCTCTGCCTCCCACAGTACAAGCAAAGGCAGTGCTGCCTCCTTGGGTCTCACAGCCAACTCAGCTGCTCTTCCCCAGAATCTCCTTCCTAATCCCTGTCTTGGTTTTGGCGGCATCTGTTAATAATAGTTGGGGTTTTTGCCAGGGTGGACATCACTTTTTATGGGAAAGCGCATTTAAGATCCCATAGTCCCAGATCCGAACCAAGTGAGTGGCAGTCATTGGGGGTGACCTGACTACTGAGGGCCTGCCCTGTGGAGCTCCCCACCTGGGTGCAGGAGTCTGCCATGTGGGAGATGTCCTGTCTCTCTGGTCACTTCTGAGCACTTGGCCTCCTGTGACCTCAGGGGAGACACTGGGACCTAGACCAGCACTTTTCCAACTTTAACACAGAGAAACCCCTACTGTATCATCAGAAAAGCCAGCAAGGTGACCCTCAGATGAGGCTGACTGGGCACTGCAGGCCCTCCTATTGAAAGTTATGTGTTAGCTCTATGTTGGCTCCTGGGGCTATTGCTGGGGATTGACTGTGTGACCACAGGTCTGACAAGAGGTGGATGTGGCTGACTACCCCAGTTCTGCCTGAGCTCCTGCCACCTTGCCTCACAGACAGTCCTTGTTTCTGTTCATGTTTCTTTAGTGAATGTTCGAGTGACTTAGAAAGCACTTCACGGGCTTCCTAACTGGTGTCTTGGTTACACTGCAGGTATGACCTGGATGCCTGTGACATCCAAGAAAAATACCCAGATCTATTCCAAGTGAACCTGGATGTGGAGGTGGAGCCCAGGGACAGGCCAAGCCGGGAGGCTCCACCATGGGAGAGTACAAGCATGAGGGGGCTGAACCCTAAAATACTGTTTTCCAGCCGGGAGGAGCAGCAAGACATTCTGTCTAAATTTGGTAAGATCCCACAGGCAAAATGAAAGAATTTGAGCACTAGCAGGTGACCTGATTCCATTACCAGTCTTGGAGGTCTGTGCCAGGGCTGGGGCAGTGTCCTCCTTCTCCCTTGTTGCTGTGTCACACACAGGTTATGGGGGGTTTCAGATACCCCTGTCCCTTGACACTGTCATGCCTCAGCCCCTACACCAGGGCAGGGAGAGTTCCTTCCTTAGGCCTGTTCACAATCTGCGTAGCTGTGGGGTCATCCCTATCTGGACTGTAGGCACAGTGAGCATGTCCCAGCCCTGGAGTCAGGTCACCCCCAATTACTGCCACTCACTCAGCTCTTGGGGATGTTGTGAAGCTGGAACTGCAGCCCCATAGTCCAAGTTGCCTGTGGACTTTGAGGGTCTTACATTCTAGACCTACGCCCTTATTAAATGTGACCTTGAAAATGTTTACTTCAGAGCAATCACAAAAATAGTGGCTCAGAAAGTGCACTGGCAGGTAAGACTCATGGTGTTGTTTTGATGCTCTTGGTCTACATTCAAGTTTTCTTAGGCCTATTAAGTATCCCTGAAGAGTGTGTGTGCTGTGTGCATGTGTGGCATGTGCACAGATACGACCTAACATTTACGTGCACAATAGGGGTCTGTTCACAGACTGGACCCTCGCTGTCCTTGTGTCAGTGCGGATTTCCTGGCGTCTGGCTTCTGTGTCCTTCCCACCCCATGGTTGCTGCCTGGGGTAGGTGACCTGATGCCCCCCTCTCCTGGCAGGGAAGCCGGAGCTCCCCAGGCAGCCGGGCTCCACAGCTCAGTACGACGCCGAGGCCGGGTCCCCGGAAGCTGAGCCCACGGAGTCGGATTCGCCGCAGAGCAGCAGCACAGACACCAACCACTTTCTCCACACCCTGGACTGGCAGGGTAGGCGGCCCCAGGCCCCTCGACCCTTGCAGAGGAGCCCAGTGTGCAGTGTGGGCCAGAGCTCACAGAGCAGGCTCTGTCCAGCTCCCACAGGGGACGGCTTCCAGTGTGTACCCCAGTGCAAGGCACACATCACGGGATGTGCCGAGGCAGAGTGGGGCTTCCTCAGAGCAGGGCTGTGGACTCATGCACTGGCCTGTTTTTTTAATGGCTCACAACCTAAGGGTCATTTTCATATATATTTTTGAGTTTTTATATATTTCTTCTGTGAGAAAGACAGTATTCCTCATGCCACAGTCCGTCTAAGCCTCAGCCGGCCTCCATTATTGGCAAGCACACGTGTCCTGCGTATGCTGGGAGATCTTGGGATATAAACGTGGGACCTTCCCACATGGCTTCAGCATGTGGAGTGTTCTGTTTCTGCACCACTGTCTGGCCCAGTTTTCTTATTTTGTAAGGTTGAAGGCAAAAAAAGTATGCTCACAAAGCCTAAAATACTGACTCTGGCCCTTGTGGGACTTATTTGCCAACTGAGACCTCTCCCTAAGAAGTTCTTACCCTCCTCTTAGGAGATACACTCACCTCCCCATCATGGTACCCCTCACACAACCCAGCCTAGTAAGGCCATCCATCTTGCACCTGTCCCCAAACTCATGCCCTTCCCAGTCTTATCGTCACTGGCCCCTCTACCTGATGTTCTTCCCCAGATGTGTGCCAGCGCCCTGCAGGGTGCTGTGGTGTGTGCCCTCCAGACTGAGCTCCACAGGAAGCCACTTCATGCTGGCACTAGGGAGCAATGGGCAGATCTTGCTTGAGTTTGAGGTTCAGAGAAGGCTAGAAGAAAAGCCTCATGAAACCTCAGGAAGTTCCTATTGTTAGCTGGATGCTGATGTGGTGCTGGGCCCTTAGGTGCTGAAGCCCAAGGTGTCAGCAAATGGTTCGATGGCCTAGGACACATGCTCTGCTCTGTCTGTCCCTGTGCACTGATCCCCAGAGCTGAACACAGGTCCATCGAGGCCACAGCCTGGGCTCTGAGGAGACAGTCCACTGTGGCTACAGCCACAGTGTATGGTGTCACCAACCTATGGTCTTGTTTTCTTTTCACAGAGGAGAAAGAATCAGAGACTGGTGTAGAAACTACCTCTCCTAGGGAGAGTCAACCTGTTCTGATCGAAGACAGAGATGAGAGCGAAGCATCAGATGAAGGGCCGTCCTTCCCAAGTGAGGACAGGGAACTGGGGGCCGAGGAGGACAAGCCAGGCCTGGCAGCAAGGGCGGGCCAGCAAGACTTGATTTTTGATGCTGGAACCCCAACCGTGCCCCAAGAGCCCACACCTCAGGAAGACAACATCGACCTCCTGGGGCTGCATGCCGAGACAGGCCCTGGGCCGGCTCCGCCATCACAGGTCTGCGGTGCCCCCTCCAGCAATGCTGACCTGCTCAGCCGCCTACTTGGGCCCTCTGAGGCTACTCCAGAAGGGTCTTCGGAGGATCTGCTTGGTGGAGAGGCTCCCCTGCTCTTGGCAAGCCAAGCCCCTCCCCTGAGTGTACAGAACACCACGAGAGGAGGGCCCCCTGCTGCTGGTATGCACTTATGATGTTGAACCAGGTGCTAGTTCCTCCATCTCTCCCGAGCCCATGGGCTTAGAACTGCTCTCTGTTCCCTTTCACGGGCACTGCTGTGTCCACGGGGAAGTCATCCTGAATGTGGCACATTGTGCAACATGATGTGAAGGGGGCGGCTGCACTTCTTGGAGCTCAGCGTGTCCCTGAAAGGGCAGCGCTGAGTCTGGGTTTGATTAGCTGAGATGGTTTCCTTTGTGGTTTAGAAGAGTGGGTCTGTGATTTTGTCCTCATGAGCGAGGGCCGAGACTTTGGTTCTAAACACTTCTTTTCTGTCCCTGCCCATCTTTCCGTAGCTGACCTGTTTGACCCATTCATGCTGTCCTCTGATGCTGACGCCCAGCCCTGCTCCAAGCCTGACCTCTTCGGCGAGTTTCTCAACGCAGACTCCACAGCTGCCCAGCCTGCCTTCCCCTCAACCCACAGTGCCCCACCCCCATCCTGCAGCACCAACTTCCTGCACCTGGGTACGTGGGTACACCTGCAGGAGCTACAGCTTGGCGGGGCGTGGGAACTTCTGCATCCCATGGCCACCTTCCTCAGCACCACTGCTGGAGGTCTAAGATGGTGGGCAGAGCTGGATTATGTGACTCCGGCATCGGAGGCTCCAGGAAAGATCTGTCATACACCCCCTTGATGAACCAGGTCTTTCTGAGACTCCTACAGGATACCCCCAAACTGTCCCCAAACCTGAAACAGGTCTTGTACCCCACGGTGCCCTCCAGTTACTCATGGGCGCTTCAGCAGGTATTTCTTGAGGCCCACATCATGGCCAGACCTTCTCTGGGCCTTAGGAGTGTGGCCATGAGCAGGGATGACACCTTTGCCCCAAATCTTGTTTGGGGCAAGAGGATGAGATCAAGTTTGGGGTCAGAGGGGTCAAGGAATGCAAAGGTGC